AAAGTCCAAGCTGGACCAAAAGCAGCCGAAAAATTCGTTGGGAAACATTTTTAATATGTACGCACGACGACCCGTGGCTCGCCGCTGCTACCCTTGATCCTTTCTCCTCGCCGGCAGTTCATTTCGAGATGCTCCTGGGTTTCTGGATTCCTCTGAATATTCCTGGATGGTCCGGCTAGACAGCTGCCCCGCCCCTGGACCTCCTGTCCCCTTCGTCCTGTAATTACACGGGGCATTTGCTTGGCCTTTGTTTCGCACTGCGTTCTGTATTTTTTTTTTAGATTTATTTTCCGCTCCTCGACGCTGCCCTGTTTGCATATCCTGGCATCCCGTTGAAGGATAAAGCCGCGCGCTTAAATAAGCAATTACGGTGTGCCAGCGACCAGCATCCTGTCAAAGTCCTGCCCAGCGTCCTGCCAGCCCGAAAAAGGGTTGAGCCACTCGACCAACCAAAGGACAAAGCGCGCACTCACAAAAAAAGGGTTCGCCGAAAAGGGGAAGCAAAAATCGGGCAAAAAACACAAACAGAGAGACTGCCGCTGCCTCGACCGGCTGTCGGTTCCGATTTAAATCTTTGGCCATGACATGTGGCCACCAGACAAGGTCCACTCTGCACTCTCCAACCCGTTGAAGGAGCGACCAAAAAATCAATAAAAGCCGGCTTTAAAACGGTCAGGCCAAGTTCAAGTTCAACACTTGATAATTAATTTTCCAGGACACCAAAGTGCGTGCCGGACTCATTAGCATAGCCCCCAGCTCCCACTCCTTGTCCGGGAAAAAAGGGTCGTTGCCGACGGGTCATTGTGCTTTTAATTAGAAAACATTCCAAGGACGCGGGTCGCGGGACGCGGGGTGGCTGAAAACTCATTAAGATTTCCGCATAACCCTTTTTTTCCGACCGGCTTTTCTGACCCAGTTTTCCTCGGCTGACCTTCTTGTCCGGGGATTGTAATTAAGCAATTAGCTAGAAAACACCCTCGCCTCTCGCCTCGCTCGTCCTTTATTTGTGGTCGGTTGGTAACTGACCCACGGCAAGGTGAAGTGCCTTGGGCCAGGTGTGTTGACCCCTCATCAGTGGCTGCCGTTTTCATCCGCATCCCCCTGCAGCCGAGTATCTGTGTATCCGAGTATCTGTGTATCTGCGCGCACTTCCCGTCATTCGTTTTGGAAATCGCGACATCGTGATTGCATTTGGCATATGCACATGTGCACCTCGTTCCGCCGCTTCTCCGAGGGTCACGCAGCTGGCCAACAACAGACTGTCAGGCTGGCCAACAACACTGCATTTGGTCAATGGCCACTGTCCACTGACCAGTTTCAGTCGGCGGCCGATTCCCCCTTTCGCGGCATTGACACATTTTTATTCGATTTTTCGCGCAATGTTCCCACGCTTTACTGACCCAACGCAATATGGAGTTGGCTAACGTGAAAGGAGTTGCAGTTGTTTTTATTTTGTATACTATATAGGATCAGGTCAAAGTAATTTGCCAACAAGTTGGGACGAAATATATTTGAGAATAAAACTCTGGCTTATATTTTTCATAGAGGATCTACATGGTCTTAAGCTTATTTAAGTGTTTAGTTATTATGATATAGTACATATACATATCTCTAGCGTTTATTTCATAATCCTCTTATTATGTTATTTTCTTTAATCATGTACTTGAAATAGGAAACATTTTGCTAATTTGTATAATTTGTAAAAGAATGTTATTTGTTATAAAAGTTCAAGCTAGGTTTCTCCTTTAAAAGGCTTTTTAGGTGTCTTAGGAATAACTTGTTTTGAAAAGGTACCTTTAGATATTATTTCTAGTTGACCTTTAAATTTAATTATTATTTACTGCAAAGAGTAATTTGGCTAACCCCCTTGCCTGACCTCTGTTAATTTGTATTTTTGCTAATTTCAAAAACGGGTTCCTTTTTAGTCACTTTCCACCTTTCTTGGTTGATTGATAGGCCCTTCGTCTTAGGCACATCTGCTTGATCTTGATCTATCGTTCGTCTCGTTTTGCTTGATGGCATCTCGGAATCTTGAGTTATAGTCGCCGGGCTCCTTTCGATCTGCTGTCGAAGGACGAAGCCATAAATTAGATCGCTTCAGCGATAATCGTTGCAAAAGTTCTGGCTTATAGGAATTCGATGCTTAACAGAGCAGCTTTAAGGACGAAACAAAGGCTAATGAGGCGTGGGGCAGGGCTCAAAGGAAACCAGGAGTGGTGCAAAGGCAGAAACAGGTTTTATTATTTTATATTATTTGTATTATTATTTTTTTTTTTTGTAACTTTTAAAAAGTATATCTTGTTTTTAAGCAGGGCTCCTTTATTTTTCCCTTATTTTGCTTTTTTGTAAAGGCACCCGCATGGCTGTTTACCGTTGTATTATGCTTTCTGCCTACCGCTTGCCTGATTTTTTGAGAGCTCCTCCCGCACTGGCGGCCATGGCAAAGGTCAGGGGGCTGGCGGCCCCAAGGGGGTTGAGGTCATGGAGAGCGGGACCAGGCAGAGGCAGGTTCAGGTGGGCGGGCATAGCAACAATTGCAGCCGCACGCTGCTGAGGCAGGCTTTTGTGCCGCCTTTGGTCGGTTGCCAACCGCAAATATGTTCCCGTTCGGATGTTTTATTTTTTGCATTCTGCATTCTGGATGCTGGATGCTGGATGCTGGATGCTGGATGTTGGTTGTGGATGTTGGATTTGCCGCCACTGCAAAGTCAACTAATTGAATGTGCTAAACTTACCCATACAAACTCAGATATGGCGCTATATGGCGCATTATAAGCGCTTATTTCTGGATGCCTTTCCAGGACCTCGCTAGTACACTGATTTTCTGATGCACAGGAAATAATTTGGTTGTGTTTTCTAGATGGGAAAATAATTATTAAACATATTTAGGTTACATAATTTGGTTGTGTTTTCTAGATGGGGAAATAAATATTAAACATATTTTGGTTGGCAAAAAAAAACTAAAAAGTAACAAATATAAATCGCAAATAAAATAGCAAATACATTTATTTAAAACCCAGCGATAATTATTAACTAAATATAAGATATTTTTTCCCAAAGATAATTGTAAAAAGTACTCTCTTTTTAAAATATTTATTGAAATAAAATATACATCTTAAATACATAAATATCCATTATTTCAAGCAATAGTTAATTGGTTTCTGATATACATTTAGAAAGATTTTTTGATAATTAAAGATTGCCACAGAAATTGTTGAAGATTTAAAATCAATTTAAAAGACACAAATATTGCATGTATTTCTGTTAAAGAATTTTAACCTTAAATTAACATTTATATATAGTTTTTACTCCTAAATTGGATAGAATTTTATAAAATCAAGTTCAGAATTTTCCGCTTTTCTTACTGTATATGGGGAAAACCTCCCATCACTATTAATATAATGATGATAATGATGATGACGGCGACGATGATGATGATGATGACGATTTCTCCATTTGCCGCTGCATCTGTATGGGTAATTACTGTGCTCTGTACTAGTATTAGTGTGAGTGAGGGACGTCGACGTCTGCTGGATGTCCGTGGAAATGGGGTGGATTCTGCTCGCCGTTTTTTTCTATATACACTGTGTTTTAGCATTTTTTTTTTTATTGTACCTTCCCCGTCAGACCCTCTCTCTCGCTTTAACGACAGCCAGCTCACCCTGTCCGCAGTTTTTTTTCTACCCACTTCTTCTCTTTTTTTTTGCATTTTACTTGCGTCGGAAACCGCCATTTTTTATGCGCGCTAACTACGCCGCCCTCTCTATGCCTTTCCCTGTCCCTCGCCGGCTACCCTCTTTCTCTCTTTCTCTCTGTCGCACCCTCGCACTGCGAATTTGCGCATTAGAAAAAAATGTGGGCTGTACTGTGCGGTGTGTGTGTGTGTGTGTGTGTGTGTGTGTGTGTGAGCGAGGGTGTGCCAGTATGAGTGTGGCATACAAAATGGATTTTTTTCTATAACACCGCCGGCCTGTTATTTCTATTTAATAATAAAGCGCGCCATTATTTAAGGGAATATTTCGTAGATTTTTCATCTAGAATTGTAGAAATTATTTCTTGTTGTTGTTTTTATAGCTATCTTCACTTTGCTAAAATATATTATTTCTTTGGGAATGAAATATTAATATATTGTAAATAACACACATTTTTGCTATTTTACAAATATTTTTCTGAACTTTCAGAATAATTTTAGATAATTTTTTTAACAAGTGTTTATGTCACAGCAAACTAAAATAAAATATATTATATTTTTCATTGTATTTCATAGCTAGTGCAAAATGTTTGTAACTAAATTATAATTGGAATTATTAATAGGACCATGTTTTAATCCCTTTTTACAGATAAGAAATCAAGTTTATCGCGAGGAGCAACGAATGTGCTAATGGTAAGATTAGAAAATGTCTCACTTCTACTTCCATCCCTATTAAGTCATTTAATTCATAAGTTTATTTGTATAATTTTTTATTAATCGAAAAAATTTGATTATATAAATAACCAAGATTTAAAACTAAAAACTCCACTGACGTTACGTTTTCATAGTTAAAATTAAATATGTTTGAATTAGAGAAATTTTATTATAATTGAATTAAACAACGCACCGCCCTTGCCGCGCCACCTGTCTGTCATCTATGCAACCCAACCGGACTGCATTACCGACTTCCTGAACTGAAAAGTGTAGAAGCCATCCGGGTCTTAAAACTTCCTTTTGCTTATCCAAGCTTAGCACCATTCTCCCATATCTCAGCGGTGTTTACTACCTTTAGGTGTGACCAGTTTTAAACGAATTAAGGTATTTTAAGCGTTAAGCGAGGCAGCCACTTGTATTTCTTGTTGTTTCTTTTTAACATAACAAAAATTTTCGGAGTGCAAGATAAAAAACCGCGGCGTTGTAAAACAAAGCAATATTGTTGCGATTTCGTTTGGGTCGTGGCCGAGATAACTCCGGTGAGGAGCGAGTGCAGCAACAACGTGGCACAGGGACAACTGAAAAAGCGCCGAAAATGAAGAGCAACGTGAACCAGGGAGGCTATGCACCACCGGGCTTTGGAGCCGGATATCAGCCCAACGCTCCGCCGGCTGAAGGATTCGGGTATCCGCCCCCCCAGCCTCAATCCGCCCCATATTCGCCGCCTCCAGGGCACCAACAGGGACCGCCGCCCATGAATTACGTGAGTTCCAAATTGGTCACTATATTTACCTACTATTTGTGTCTGGTGTCGGTGTGTCTGTGTGTCTGTGTGCGTGCGAATTTCGGGGGAGGAACAGTCATGACGTCATTAGCTGCTGGGTTGGTATGCACAGTGGGGACTCGATAAAGGAAACTGTATAAATTTTGATTCTGTTAATAGAATAACATTTCCTAAAATATATAAATCTTTATTTACATGCATTATTATATTCAATTATACAAAATAATTTAATAATCTATTTAACTCAAATTTATTTCAATGAAGTGAATACCTTATTTTTTTAATTTCTTTATGTAATATCTCATGTCGAGTATGTTGATTGCCAGTTCTTCCTAGTGAGTAACTGGTTTTGAATATTTTAAATAAATTCATATATTGTGTACATTGTTTCCAGAGTGTTCACTGTGTTTATTTTTAAACCGTAATCACACGTCATTCGTGTCTGCATTGCGATAACAATGAGCTTGATTCGGCTTGCTGGGGAAACAGCGAAAGCAGCGTGCAAATAATTGCAAACAAATGTTTTTTTTCCCTTTTTGTGGATGCAAACAACTGGAAAAACAATGCTTCATTTTTTAAACAGAAAATCAGGTTGGATAAGGAAATCAATATTTAATTGCCGTGGCTTAAATATAATAAAATATAAATAATTATTAAGAGAATAATAACAGTAAACAATGCAATGATTTATCAGTGTTTATTCTACTTCATCTTTAAAGAAGAGTCTATAATATTTTAAAAACGTTGTTTTCACTGCTTAAGCATTATATCAGTCTTCAGTACTAACAAATAACTACAAATAATCATTAAATAAATATGTGTTGTATAAAAAGGGAGGGCTACATACTTGCATTTGTATTTATGACTCATAAAGTTAGTTCTCTTTCTCCGATAACTTTAGGGCAAAATATAAAATAGATTACATATAATATTGGGACTTTTCTGTTCATTATTACCTTTATTATTAAATGATTAAAATATCAATCACCTTTGCTATGCATGATTAAATGGAAAGGTATGATCCGATTTCGTTTGAAATACAAGATTGTAGATATAAACTTAAATTTCAATAAAAGATTTCTTCACTCTTTTTGCACAATCTCTGGTGAAGCAATTGTAAGTGCTAAAGATAAGAAGAACATCGACGTTCGATCCACTTCAAATAACCGATAACTAAGCTCGACTACGCCCCCAATCGAACATTCCTCGCTCAACTCTCGATCGTTTCAGGGCTTCGTTCCTGGCCAACATCAGTCAGCCGGTTACGCTCCAGTTCCACAGATGCCGCCCTACGGAGAAGCTCCGCCTTATGGAGCCGGACAGCCGCCATATGTCGGTGGCGGCGCACCACAGCCACAGGGATTCGGAGGATACCCACCCGGTCCCGCAGGACCGCCGCAGGGATTCGGAGGATATCCACCGGGACAGCCGCAACAGCCAGTGATCACGCAACCGGGAATGGGACCCGGAATGGGTGCTCCTGGCATGCCACCAGGAATGCAACCCGGGATGGGACAAGGCGGACCAGCAGGTGAGTAATCCTGAGAATGATTAAAATTGACTCATGTTTAAAAGGTGCTATACAACTTTGACGATAATTTTAATACTCAATGTAGAGGGTCTTCGGAAGAAGGAAAATTTCAGTTATCTTCAGACCTAGAACTGGCCCAATATAATGTATTACGAGCACTATCTTCATTTTGATAATAAATAGGTTTTATGGTTTATTACTTAAATGAGTGACAGGGTTCTGATGTTCGTTATAGTTGAGTTAAACATAGATTTAGAGGGTGTTTTGGTATTATTTTGATAGAAATACAAGTCCCATCGCCTACAGAACTTTATTATTGACACATATACTTGATCTTTATCGATTTTAAATGCTTTATGAGCAATTCATACTTTAATTCAATTCAAACTGGTTTTATCAGACCTTGTCAAGATCGTATTACTACCTGCTATTACTTATCTAGCTATCAGCTGTAGTCCCCTGGCTCTTTACAAAGAACCATCTCTGTACGAGACCGGTGTCATTGCCCTGCATCGCAGATAATGCCCAATCATGTGGGGTTGATGATTCCTCCAAGTGCAGTCCAGCCTGAACCCATCATCCCAGAGATAAGGACTAGATTCCGTGCTAGATCCGCGGAGAACAAAGGGTGCCATCTAACGCTGAACCAAAAGCAAAAGTGGGATGCTAATATTTACCTAGACAAATCTCAGAGTGTTAGAGTGAGAGATTTCGAGGTTCCTTCGCTGTTACCTCCGCCGTTATCTCCGCCTTCTGCTGGATGTGTTTTTGTTTACACGTGCGTCCATCCGTCCCAAATAGGCTGAAACCGCTGTCAGGTCTTCGGCGCTTATCGGAAGGCGGCTCGTCCGCCTTAATTGAACCAATAAAATAATACAAAAGCGGCATTTAAAACGCTGTCCATGGGTACGGCGTTGATTTTTCCACGTCGAGCGAGTGCGATGCCTCAGTTAGTTCATCTCTGTGCAGCAGAGCAAGCGGTCGTGCCTATACATAGTGTCCATAATGTCCATCGAAAACCGAACCAGTGGCGTCTCGAATTGCGTTTCCACGCTGGACCTGAGCGGTGAAAACCACACAGGGGATGCTACGAGGGGCAGCGGCGTCAAGAGCGGCTCCAAGGTGCTGCGCCTCATATGGCACTCGCTCTACAGCCAGTACACTCACCTCTGCTCAAGGTCCGAGACCCTGAGGCAGCTGGTCTGCCGGGAGGCCAACAAGCCGCTGCCCAAGAAGCTGCGCCACACCATGCGCCTGAACAAGTCGGCCAAGCGGAAGGGCTACGAGTATTACATTAGCGATGAGGACAGGAGGTGAGCGAGGGTTAGGAATGACAAATTATAAAAGGAAAAAGAGTATAGGAAGTATAGAATTATTTACTTAATATTCCTATTATCATAAAAGGTCAGAAAAGAAGTAGAACATAAACAGATTCCTTTAGAATGTTATATTACAGTAGGAAGAAAACTATAGGAGGTATGAAGAATTAATCAGAAGAATATATCTTCAAAGATTGATTAGATCTTAAGGCACTCCCGACTCGAATATAGTTTACATAAGCAAAGTATTATTAGGTAGGTTTTTCTAGGTAGACAAGAGTCCTCTTCCAAGAATAACTTTAATACATAAATCCAAATATAAACATAGTTCCTTTAGGCTTCATTATATTATCACATTCTTTATGGTTTTGAAGAAAACATCATAGCAGTTTCCAGTACATCGTTCCCAAAATAGCTTAAGATAATACCGATTATGTAAATCATTTCAAGGTTGCCTTGCATTGTGAAATTAAATAATTCAAAGAGCTCGTAATAAAAGATATCATCCTTAGCACAGATTAGATACCAGAGTCATGATGCTAGCATAAAAGGCTAGATAGGAGAGGGTTCTCTATCAAAAATTGTGGGAGGTGGTGCGGTGGGATTGTGCCATTGAAATGCCTCCAATTAGAGAGGCCAAGCAATTGTGCCGCCGACATTGACCAATTGACACAGTGGCGACTAAACGAGCTGAACGAGATGCCCTTTTGTTGTGAAAACTAATTCAATTTGCACGCCAAGATTAAGCTTAAAAATGTATAAAGAATTTACTATATTTCCTGTAATAAATATAGGAATTGGGGTTATTAAAATAGTCGCTAATATTTAAGCTCTTTGACCATAACTCTTTGACTAATCTCTTAAATTCCCCTTTCAGGCGACTGGATGAGTATACCTACCGGAATTCCGAACTGTCCGCGCGGATTGGAGTACCTTACGACTATCGACCAGCTTTTGGTTAAGCAAAAGGTCGAGCTCCTCGAGGCTTTCACCGGCTTCGAGACCAACAACAAGTTCTCGATCAAGAATGCCTTGGGTCAGAAGGTCTACTACGCGGTGGAGGACAATGACTGTTGCACCCGGAACTGTTGCGGTCCCTCGCGACCCTTTGACATGCGCGTCTTTGACAATTATCAGCAGGAGGTGATCCATATGTATCGGCCGCTGGCCTGCTCATCCTGCCTGTTTCCCTGCTGCCTGCAGAGCATCGAGGTTTCGGCACCGCCGGGCAATGTTATCGGAAAAATCGAACAGGAGTGGTCCATCTGCTCGCCCTCGTTCCGCATCTTAAATCACATTGGGGACACCGTGTTGCGCATTCAAGGTCCCTTCTGCACGTTTTCGCTCTGCGGGGATGTCGAGTTCGAGGTGAGTTTGTTTATTGGGGTTGCTTTTATAAGATCTATCGTTTTAATTTATAATTTGGTGTGCTTTTTAGGTGCTCTCTCTCACGGGCGAAAAGGTGGGCAAGATCTCGAAGCAGTGGTCGGGCTTAGCGCGTGAAGTCTTCACGGATGCGGACTTCTTTGGCATCAGTTTCCCGCTGGATCTGGACGTGCGCATGAAGGCGGTTCTGCTGGGGGCCACATTCCTGATTGTAAGTAGATAGTTCCTAATAATTTGATGGATTTATTAACTGTTTGTTGTCAGTTGTATTCCGTTCACTTTTATCGATTCAAGCCGCTGCGGCGACTGCAACGCAGATTACGTTGGTGCTGAGGTAACCAGATGAACCCAGCTTAGTTTGCGTAGGCTAGTCCCCAGCTATAGGTCTTTCCTGTTATAAAATGGCTCTCCACTAATTGATATTCTACTCTCTGTACCTACAGGATGCCATGTTCTTTGAAAAGCAAGGCAATCGTGAGTCGGATCGCCCTGGAATGCTATAGAACTCATGCGACTGGTGCTGCGACTGTTGCTTTGAGCTGGCCAATGGCTGCTTCGACTTCTAGGAATCAGATTCTTCTGCTGTAACTATCTCTCTCTTCCCTGTGAACTGTCGCGTACTAGTCTTCGAAACCAAAAGCTTGTTGATGGAAATGGAAACGCACTTACGGAACTCCTTTGTTAAAGTTAATGGAAAATCCGAACTGGAACATAATAAACTCAGGCGTAGCCAGGATATTCATAGCTCCTACTATTAAGTTACATAGCATTTTTGACATCTATCAGCTTCCTTCATGAATTTACTACGAAGCTCCAGTGACAAAGAAGCTTACCAACGAACTAATCGATAATAAACCGATGTACTTTAAACCTTATTCTGAGTGTCTTATGTATGTAGAAGCATACATTCAACGTTATTATTGTTAAGCTGGCTGGAAATTTATATACAAATATATGTATTCTTTTTATGTATTCCTTGACTGTTAAATAAACGTGTCCAATTTAAGACTGTTATTTTACTATTTAAGACAATTTATTAATTTTTAGTTTATTACTAATTATTTTTTTGTTTCTTTTTATGTTTTTACAGGGTTTGCAGTTCTACAATGTTCCATCACTTGCTGCCTCTTTATTTGAGGCTGGAAAAGGGGAGAGAATCACTAGCTCGTCACTTGATCTGGTTTTGTGGCATGGAAACCGGCTTCTTGAAAAACAAAAAACAACAAACCAACCGAAACGAGTTTGCTCCGATTAAAAATAAACACAAATTAACGCACTGCACTCACAGTCAGCACAGTCCAGTTCAAAATGCAGACAATGAGAGTTCTGATCGGAGGAGTGCTCCTAGCCGCTTATATCTACACTATTCTGGCCAAGGATCTGCAGGAGTGCGAAGATCTGGGCCAGGGCAGTCACCTGTGCCGCGAGATCGAGAGCTTTGAGCAACTGAGTCGATATGTTGGCGAAAACTGGCGAAGCGTCAAAGTGGTGAACGAACACACCGGCATCGAGGATGAAGAGCAGAATCGGAATTTTTCAAGTCTCGCTGGACTTTTGAAACTGGATCTATCCGAGAGTGGTGGCCTGACCTTGGGTCAGAGGGGACTGCGTGACTTTGTGGGCCTCCGGGAGCTCAATATTACCCACTGTCAGCTGGAGGAGCTGGAGGAGCAGCACTTTCCCAACGCCTCCAAGCTCATCAGTCTTGATGTAAGCTACAACGACATCCAGCTAATAACGGGCAAGAAGATGAGCCGATTGGCAGATCTGGAGTATGCCAACTTCTCCAACAATCTAATTGCCGAAGTGGAGCCCGACGCCTTTAAGGGTATGAAGAAGCTGCGCTTCCTCGATCTCACCACCAATGAGCAGGAGAATGTGACTCTGGGAGAGAACGCGAATCTGAGGTACTTGTCCATAAGCAACAACAACGTGAGAGATGTAAGTAACTCTAAGAAAATTGTGACTTTTAATTCAAGGATTATCTTTCTTAGTTCCAATGGTGCCGCATGCGTGGCCTACCCAAGCTGGAGGAGTTGCACCTGCACAGCAATTGGCTCGAGAATCTAGACATGGGCATATTCTATGCCCTGCCCAAACTGCGAGTGTTGAATGTCTCCAACAACAACTTGTTTGAGATAAAGCGAACCTTGTTCAATGCCCCCGACGTGCGACCGCCTCTGGAGCTGCTTGACTACAGCTCAAATAATGTGAAGGTACTGGAGGATTCCGTCTTCTGCAGGCTCGGAAACTTAAGGACTCTCAATCTGTGGCTCAATCAGATCAACAGGATCCATCCTAGAGCCTTTCTGGGCCTGAGATCTCTGCAATCCCTGCAGCTGCAGGGCAACAAGATTTCATCGCTGCCGGACGAGCTGTTCGCCAATTTGACTGCCTTGGAACAGATGGACTTGAGCAGGAACAATATCAAAAAGCTGAGCTTAAATGTCTTTGGCGGCACCATTCTCCGCAAGCTGACCCAGCTGGATCTGAGCAACAACTACATAGCGGAGCTGCATCCTCTGGCTCTCTCATTGCTGCCTTTTCTGAGGGAACTGCGCTTGAGGAGGAACAAGCTCGTGAGTCTGGACCTGCGCATGTTTGCTCCTCTTCGACGACTGCAGATGCTGACGATCGGAGAGAATCGCCTGGAGGAGATTGAACCAGAGATCCTGGACACCCTTGAGCATGTCACTCACTTGGAGATCAACAACAACCGGCTCACCTTCTTGCCAGATCTGAAGACTTCACAGAACTTGCAGTTGCTAAGACACATTAGCCTCGAGGGCAATCCCTGGCAGTGCCTGTGTCTGGACGAGATCACCGCCTGGCTGGACGGAAGACGAGTGAGCTATGCCCGCCCCAGCAGCGCCTACTTCAGTGGCCGGAAGCCCCTCTGCGTGGTCACACCGATGGATAAGTGCCTGAGGAAGCTGGAGGAAGTACGGGCTCAGGGCATAGTCGAGAGCTACGAGAAGATTTGAGCTCTTATTTGCCTTAATATTTTATTCAACTGAAAAAGGTAATTATTATTAATTTGTTCAGAACCAACTTTGGTCTTAGCATTCATTTAATATACATATCTGTTCCTCCCTAGAGAGAGAGCGAGCAATAAATCAATATCCACTAAATGCTGGATTGCAGTTTCTGTTGTGGGTTCCGCTCCGCTGACTGACTGACTGTGTCCACCCCGAGAGTCCTGGGAGTCCTCCGTAAATCACAGACAATTGGATGACCATGAGGGCAAAACTTTTAGCTAGCCAAAGTATTTGGCCAACTGTCGTAAAACAATAAAACGGAAGGCATTCGGGGGGCAGGCAGGCGACTCGGGCGGAAAACCGAAGCAGAGATTTTCAAATACTTAACACCACTTAAGCGAACAGTTGGACAACGACAATGATGGAGAAGGACCAGGGTCTGGGAGCTGGGCATTGGGAATCCCTAGAGGAGAGCGGCAGCAGGTGGGGATTTGATTGTTGAGCGTAATTTAGCGCAAGAATTTTTATTAAAATTTTCAATTTGTTTGCAGATAAACTTTTTACGTTCAGCCACAATGAATTGATTGATTGATGTGAATAGAATGGAGTGAGCGGGTAAGTGAGCAAAGTTTGGTTGTGGAAGAAATTGTGTAGATGTTTGGGATATTTAGTGCACTTAAAAATATTAATTTACTATATAAATTATTGCCGAGGTACTTTCTGTTTCGTGTATTCCGTTGGGAATACCTGATTCAAGCCTTAATGAGGGCGTAACTTCTCTCCTTGCATTCAACTATTTGAATAGGCCGCAGGGTCAGAACAAGTCGAGCACAACTATGCGAGGCATTCACACGAGAGCAGGTAACAAAGGGACAATGGGCCCGGGGAGTTGGCAGCCAGGACATGTGCAGTCAATGTGCAATTACCGGTATAAAGGGCGAATTGGGTCCGGAGGACTACAGCCAATACCCTTGCTCGACAGCAGCCATAAAAGTTTTGGCCTTTAGGCCACAGTCCTTAAAGCTGTGAAAACTCCAAGACGACTAATTGAATTAAATTTTTCGCTTCAAATTTTCCCTTGCAAAGGTGAGGTGAAGGTGTGAAGGGCGACGTCCTGGAAATGGAGATGTGGCCAGCAGGTCCCTCCAATTAATTTGGCAACAAACTTGGGCCGTTGTTTGCACAATTTGATAACCAAAATGGCTGGGAGTTCCGGTTTTCCATTGAACCTGGGCATGACAAACTTGTTGCCACCCGCACGCTCTCTGTCTATCTCGGGGGAAATTCGATGGCGAAAGCCTAAAACTGGCGCTGAACCCTTGTCAACCTGAAATGATGCTTCGCCGAGGTGTCAAAGACATTCCGGCCATCAATTTTCCCCAGATCGCAACCCCTGTCCACTCCTAGTGACCCCGTGACCCCGTGACCCTATGGCGTATGCGTAATATTCCCTTGAATTATATTCAAATTCATAAATAATACGCATCCGCTTCGTGGTTTTACTGTGTTTTATTATATTATTTTTTAGTGTATGCACTGCATTTTCGTTTTACATTCGGTTTGGTTAATTACGTTTACGGCTAATTGCGTTTTTGTGGCTTACATAACTGCAAAATCTGTTTGCAAAATATTTGCGAAAACATTTTTGCTCAATTAGTCCCGTCATTGTGTGGGGATTGGGTGAGCCTTTGTTACCGGGGGAGCCTCAAATCCCAGTTGCTGTTTGGCACCCGAAGATCCAGGAGGTTTTGTTTGGAAAGGATCATCCTCCTCGTTGACCTGCTCAGCCACCTTCGGCGTCTCGGGCAGCGCCAGAACGAAAGGCAGCTCCTGGGGGAGGTTCGACGAAAGCAGGGTCTCTTCCATTTTCCGCAAGGCATGCATCAGCAGTTCGCGACTCCGTCTCAAAAAATATCGGGTTCGACCCAATTGGCTCGATACTGCCCTGTGCTCGATCTTGTAGCACTTCAAAGGGACCTTAAAGAAGGGAAGGACAATGGCTTAAAACATGTACTATAACTATGTTGAAGCCACTTGAGGACCCACCTTAGTGCGATATTTGTTTGTGAGTGTCATCAGGAAAGGCCGCATGTGAGAGCTGTAGTCAAAGTCAGAGCAGTAGCTAGTCTCGAGTTCGTTGTGCCGCTCCAGGCACTTTGCCACCTGGTGCTTTTGCTCCTCCATCCACTTGGGCACCTCATCCAGCTGCTGGGCCAGCTTCTCGGTGCACCGCCTAGATTCCTCGATCCGTGCCGCCACAACGCTCAGCTCCTCGGTGGTCTCCTTGAGGCGGCTCTTCACCGCCTCAATTTGCTGGAAGCCCCGCGAGGTCTCCAGCTGGACATCCCTCAAGTTGACGTTGTCCGAGTCTGCAGGCACGTGGTCTGTGTCCGATTCTGTTGGAAGGGTGCGAACTATCTTACTTTTCATCTGCAGGACACGCTGCTTCATTCCCTCCAGCTGCTGGTAGGCCTCCTCGAGGTCCAACTCGGAGCTGGCTCCCTCCTGGATGACGTCCAGGGTTGAGTTTAGCTCTATTTCGCTCTCATTCTGAGACAATCCTGGGGCCCAGCAAGACATCTTTATGTTGAATTAGGGTGTTTTCTATTCTTTGGTATTATTTTATTATTTTTAGGGATATATGTAAGTGAGTCTGGGATAAAGAGGCTGTGTGAGTGATTGAAGCTGACTTCCAGAGACAGATTAATATGAATTTGACTTAGTAAGGAAAGACCTACTTGGGAAGGGTTTTAAATACATTAAAAGGATAAGATGGTTCAGCTTCTGTACCTAAATCATCTTTGTTTAAATGACTTAAAAATTATGCATGCATTTCCCCATTTAAGTGACGTTAAGAACTTTGTTTCCAGTTTGGCATTTTGCCTTGGGGCCATTTTAATGAAAATGCCTGGCCAGAGCGCCACAAAGTATGCGATGGAGCTGCAACAATGCTGTCTGCCTCCGTCAGAGTGCACACACACCTCAAATTTGGCCCAAAGGCTCGGAAATTCCCTTCTGCTAATGATTTTTAATAGCCAAATTGCATGAGGATCCTGCAGGCAGGTCGCAGCTGCCTTCGTCCTGGAAATGCCTCTTAAAAGCGTATTTGTGGTCGCACTCCAGCCAGAAACACACACCTCACACCCACACACTCTGCTGCGGTCAATAAAGTATGCAAAGTGGTGGCTGAGAAGGAGGAGCAGAGGTTTCTGGGAGGTAATGCGGCCTTCGGAGTGACCATCCCGCCGACCTTAAAAACAAATTAGTGGTTCTTACTCAACAAGATTGAGTGGCTCGTGTATCGCTGTCATTGTCATCGCCATTGTCGTCGCGGATGTCCGGTTATCAAACAGGGGCGTGGCTGCAAAAAAGGGGCGATTTAACAATTACATTACTTACAATTACATACTTAAGGGGGATGCCAGGATTCATTACTGCGGCAGATTTTTATGTTAATCAAACCTTTGGTATATCTTACATATTTAACGTTAACATATTTCTTACAATTTTATCAGGATATCTAAAAATATTTAAAAAAGGGCTTATGATTTTAAATAGATATCAAAAACGGAAATAAGCTTCGCTAAGGCGATGTCTATATATTCTTTCAGTTTGCCATTGAATTATAGGATCGAATTTGTAATCGATTATAATCCGCATACTTTAGGATTTCTTCAACATATCAAAATGTAAAAATCTCATAACTAAGCCAAAAAGGCTTTAATTTCAATTCGGAAAGCGTTCCCGTGCTAGTTTTTAGCAGGTTAACAAAGCTGCATACTCCATTTGAAACATGAATTTTTGGCCGATTTTAGTAAATTTTAATGATGTAACCCCTTTCCTTTTTTTCGAAAAATGGGACATTTCTGAAAAAAATTTTGTTTGGCCGGATATAGCTTGAACGATTTGGCTGTTGATGCTGATCAAGAATATATATGATTTATAGGGTCGGAAATGACTCCTTCACTTAGTTTTACGCTTCTGACTGAAGGTGCAGTACCATTTTTAATCGATATTAACTATATTTTTATATGAATATTTTTTGGACAAATCAAAGTGTAAAAATCTCATAACTAAGCCAAAAAGGCATTAATTTCAATTCGGAAAGCGCTGCTATGCTAGTTTTTATCAGGCTAGTAAAAATTTTACACTGCAGGGGTCCACAAACATTGCACATTTAATTTATTATTGTTATTAGGAGTTACATTTCTTGACCCGAAAGAAGTTAGCTTTATAAACAACACACATCACGTAAAATAATTGCTTTTGCAGGCTAGAATAAATATATTAATATACATTTAAACGTACTCCTCATTCCCTATTTATATACGTACTTATTATTGCCTTAAAAGGTTTTTAATTTCACACAAAATGTAATTTCAATAATAGCCTTTTGAAATCAGCCCGGAGCGAGCGCGAGGCGCCGCTCATCCTGACGACTTGAGTGTGATATCCTTTTATTCTTTAATGATTATTCCTGCAGCCCCATTTCACTTATCGATAATCGGGCCATTGTGTCCGATAGGCAGGCGGCTCCTTGTGGAATTGAGCAATTGCATGGAAACGCAATTATTCGGCGTATTCACTTTGAGCAATGCCTGCCTCTCTGGCTCTCAATCTCTCCCAATCATAATTATTATTGATCGTATTTCAATTTATTGCTACATGTTTTATCCGCTGGCCAAGTCCAAGCTGGCAACATTGTCAACGCTCCGCGTTTGTATTGTTGATGATTTTTCAAATGCGCTTAATGACATCGAGACTCGGGCTCCCGCTCCATTTTCCCGATTTCCCCTCTATTTTTTGTTGTTCCCGTTCCTGCTCTGTTTTTCCCCTATTTCGGCTCATCTTTCGTTTACACTGAGGGGAAGAATTTTTTAAGCAAATGAAAGTATATTTAATAGTAATTACAAAATGCTTTCGTTGTGTACCAAAAACTTTTCCCACTTCTTAAATTAAGTTGGTTTATTATTTATTTGTCAGTGAAAACCTTTTATTTGAAGCAGTATATATTTATTGACAGTGCAGCTTATTCGTCGCTTCTTGAGCCATTTGCCTGATGGAAGCTCCGCTTAATGCATATGAAATGGTAATTACGCATACGCCGCGTTGTGCAGCGGAAGCAGCCAAGTGAGCCGGGAATGAAATCGAAGTGCCAGCGCCACTTATTGCCGCTCATTTATCTTATTAATAGCTCCCCGTCTGGTGGCACAATTTATCAAGTGACTAAAAACTGGAATTTACTTCGACTCGCGTCGTCGTCTTGCTGCTAATGCTCTGCTGCTCTTGTCATTTCTATAATCAAGTTGGAGCAACTTGGAGGCATTGACTGGCCATCGGGCAGCGCGTTTTGACAGTCGTCCTGGTCTAGACAATGTAATTGTCGAGAGCGGGATCCTCGGCTCCTTTGACCTCCTAATAGCCTGTGCGGCAGTAAATCAGTTGGGTGCGCATAAATCACCAGGTCCTGGCCGAGGCTCCCTGCTCATATGTTGCGGCTTTTAAATCACAAGGTGTCAGGCGGGGAAGGCGCAAGGAAAAAGTATAGAAAAAGCAGCGGACTATTTTTTGACGAGGGTTCGGAATAAAAGGGGAGAATCGGAATGTTGAACTAACCAGGACACAGGTCGCAGGCTCGTTTGTTTATTTATTTATTTCAAGTGTCCGAGCAGTCGGCCGACCACTTGTCACAGACAACCGTGCGACTTGATTTATAAACATTTACATATCACAGGACTCGTCCTTTATTTTGTTCTCTTTGGGGTAATGTTAGAAAGGTACAGGGTACCAGAATTGACTCGACCAGTGCATAAATTTCATTTCATTTCTTGCTCTACAAATATTTTATTAACATCTACAGGCTTCTAGTTTATTTTCTCTTATTTCCCTATGAAGGAAGTTTAACTATGCAATCCTTTTTGACAACAGTTTCTTAGGTATTTATTGGTCGACACACTCTTAAATTGTTCCGTCACTTCTCTCACTTTTTCTTCACTTTATTGTTGCCCAATTAGGCGCAGCCATAAATTCATGCGAAAATGGCCAGGAAGTCGGCGAAAAAAAAGAAACTAACTTCAGGGGCTGCGCTCTGCAGTGCCGTTAATTAAAAAGTTTTTAACAAGTTAATTGAAATAGATCTCGATTGGAGTTTTTATTGATATTTGGCTGACGTTTGGCATTTGCCGCGTTTGCTTGCGAAAGCGGAGCGAAGCGAAACTAAATAATTAGTTTGCTGGCCTCTTTTGGCGCAAACTTTCCGGGGCCACTTGAATCTGGAAGTTTGGGACGCGACGGCGACGGAAAAGGACTTTTCGGCCAAGGGAAGGAGCCAAACTGTTTGCCAACAACTCGAGCACGAGCCACTCACTCACTCACTCACTCACTCACTCGTCGGGCGAAAACTTAACACATTATGAGTCGCCGGGTCCTGCCGACTTTCCCTCGAAATGCATTTGACATTTGCGCCGGAGCAACAGCTGCTACATAAATTAAAAAATGTAACAACGACCGGGCCCAAAGCCAATACAAATAAGGGAGCAATAACAACCGTGACAGGAACAACTTGTATTGAGGGGACCTCTTGAGGGGACCCTTTCGCTCCCAACCTTTTGCACAGCCTCCGGGAACAGGGCATAAATAATATGTACAAAAGAAAGTTTTTGTCAAAGCGCCCCAAGTGGCACTCGCAGCTCACCCTTTTCCAGATAAGTCTGCCGAGCGCCCCAATCGGGAAATCAATAATGATTTGGCCTAGCTATCGGCTGCAAAATGAATGCAGCTTTTTTTCCCAGTGACTGACTAAGTTTTACTCTTCGGGAAAAAATATTTGTATTATTTTTAAAAAATGTAGTAAATATGGGAAATTTCACTTTATTATTTAGTAATTTGTACATGTATTTATAAAAGATTTATAATAAAATAAAAATAGTAGGAAAATTAGAAGTAAGAAACAATATTTACTATCTAACTTAATGAATATTTTTTTCTTTTTAATTCCAGTCACTGCAGTTCCTGGACATTATTCATTTTATAACAACTTCAAGGAGCCGCAGATTCCCACTCAATAAGGCAATATAAGAAATTCCTGGAGGCCCACAAGGACTTCGCGGGAAATGCCGATGCCGCGGCACTACCCACACTCGTCACCATCGGCCATCGAATAAATTCCCCCTTTTCGGAGATGAAATGACAACCTGGAACCGGAGTGAACAATGCGTCCTCGGACAGGAGTCATTAAAAAGTTGCCACAATCCCCACGGTGAGGGTAAAATTAAGCGAGCCATTTGAATGGCAACCATGGCGACAGCGTCGAGAGCAAAAGACTTGGACGGTCATCAAAGTAAAGTGTTTTCCAACTTTTCTTTTCTCTGGGTTTTCCCATCGCTTTTTTCCCCCCTTCTGATTTTCTTTTCTCTTTTTTTAGTAAACTTTTGCAGAGCTTCGCAGCTGCTCCTGCGGCGCTTGTTATTGTTGTTATTTACTATTAAAGTTGGCAGGATCGTAAACAGCTTGCGGCCAAAAAGGAAGAACCAGGATGAGCGGGGTAAGCGAGTTGAGGCGGGGTCGCTGCGGATAGTTTTCCCCTTTGATACTTCGGCTCTGTTGGTGATTGGCTCTCCCAACTGTAATTTCGCAATTTCCGGCTCCATGGCCTTGTGTGTGGGCTCAGCTTTATTACCAATTAAAGTTATTCAATTGCCGCGCAAAAGTTAAAACGCAGCGCTAATTTCATTTCCCTCCTAAACGTACATAAGCACTGCAAAAAATTTGTAAATATAAATAAAAATGAAAGTCTTCAACAATTAAATATAATAAATAAATTAAATGTAACTTAAATTATAAAATATTTATTCATTAAAGTCTGATTAGGTTGAACTTAATAAAATGGATTAATTTATGTAGTTTATTTTTAGTTGAAAGGTAACATAAATTATTAAATATTTATTTAAGAAATATATTTGACTGATTGGGTTGAACTTAACACACTTGACACACTTCATCCTCTGAATATCTTCAAATGAATTGTCCGTTTGGCATCACTGATAAGTGCCATGCGATTTTGTCCCAACTGTGCAATATAGCTAGATTGCCATCACTGATAAGTGCGATGCATTTTTCTCCCAATAGTGCAATTTAGCCAAATTGGCATCACTGATAAGTGCGATGCGATTTTGTCCCAACTGTGCAATATAGCTAGATTGGCATCACTGATAAGTGCGATGCATTTTTCTCCCAATAGTGCAATATAGCTAGATTGGCATCACTGATAAGTGCGATGAGTTTTTCTCCCAACTGTGCAATATAGCTAGATTGGCATCACTGATAAGTGCGATGCGATTTTGTCCCAACTGTGCAATATAGCTAGATTGGCATCACTGATAAGTGCGATGATTTTTCCCAACTGTGCAATATAGCTAGATTGGCATCACTGATAAGTGCGATGCGATTTTGTCCCAACTGTGCAATATAGCTATATTGGCATCACTGATAAGTGCGATGCGATTTTGTCCCAACTGTGCAAAATAGCTAGATTGGCATCACTGATAAGTGCGATGCGTTTTTCTCCCAACTGTGCAATATAGCTAGATTGGCATCACTGATAAGTGCGATGCGATTTTGTCCCAACTGTGCAATATAGCTATATTGGCATCACTGATAAGTGCGATGCGATTTTGTCCCAACTGTGCAAAATAGCTAGATTGGCATCACTGATAAGTGCGATGCGTTTTTCTCCCAACTGTGCAATATAGCTAGATTGGCATCACTGATAAGTGCGATGCGATTTTGTCCCAATTGTGCAATATAGCTAGATTGGCATCACTGATAAGTGCGATGCGATTTTGTCCCAACTGTGCAATATAGCTAGATTGGCATCACTGATAAGTGCGATGCGATTTTGTCCCAACTGTGCAAATAGCTAGATTGGCATCACTGATAAGTGCAATATAGCTAATTGGCATCACTGATAAGTGCGATGCGTTTTTCTCCCAATGTGCAATATAGCTAGATTGGCATCACTGATAAGTGCGATGCGTTTTTCTCCCAATTGTGCAATATAGCTAGATTGGCATCACTGATAAGTGCGATGCTATTTTGTCCCAACTGTGCAATATAGCTAGATTGGCATCACTGATAAGTGCGATGCGATTTTGTCCCAACTGTGCAATATAGCTATATTGGCATCACTGATAAGTGCGATGCGATTTTGTCCCAACTGTGCAAAATAGCTAGATTGGCATCACTGATAAGTGCGATGCGTTTTTCTCCCAACTGTGCAATATAGCTAGATTGGCATCACTGATAAGTGCGATGCGATTTTGTCCCAATTGTGCAATATAGCTATATTGGCATCACTGATAAGTGCGATGCGATTTTGTCCCAACTGTGCAAAATAGCTAGATTGGCATCACTGATAAGTGCGATGCGTTTTTCTCCCAACTGTGCAATATAGCTAGATTGGCATCACTGATAAGTGCGATGCGATTTTGTCCCAATTGTGCAATATAGCTAGATTGGCATCACTGATAAGTGCGATGCGATTTTGTCCCAACTGTGCAATATAGCTAGATTGGCATCACTGATAAGTGCGATGCGATTTTGTCCCAACTGTGCAAAATAGCTAGATTGGCATCACTGATAAGTGCGATGCATTTTTCTCCCAATAGTGCAATATAGCTAAATTGGCATCACTGATAAGTGCGATGCTATTTTGTCCCAACTGTGCAATATAGCTAGATTGGCATCACTGATAAGTGCGATGCATTTTTCTCCCAATAGTGCAATATAGCTAAATTGGCATCACTGATAAGTGCGATGCGTTTTTCTCCCAATTGTGCAATATAGCTAGATTGGCATCACTGATAAGTGCGATGCGTTTTTCTCCCAATTGTGCAATATAGCTAGATTGGCATCACTGATAAGTGCGATGCTATTTTGTCCCAACTGTGCAATATAGCTAGATTGGCATCACTGATAAGTGCGATGCGTTTTTCTCCCAATTGTGCAATATAGCTAGATTGCCATCACTGTTGCACAATTGGGACAAAATCGCATCGCACTTATCAGTGATGCCAATCTAGCTATATTGCACAGTTGGGAGAAAAACGCATCGCACTTATCAGTGATGCCAATCTAGCTATTTTGCACAGTTGGGACAAAATCGCATCGCACTTATCAGTGATGCCAATATAGCTATATTGCACAGTTGGGACAAAATCGCATCGCACTTATCAGTGATGCCAATCTAGCTATATTGCACAGTTGGGACAAAATCGCATCGCACTTATCAGTGATGCCAATCTAGCTATATTGCACAGTTGGGAGAAAAACTCATCGCACTTATCAGTGATGCCAATCTAGCTATATTGCACTATTGGGAGAAAAATGCATCGCACTTATCAGTGATGCCAATCTAGCTATATTGCACAGTTGGGACAAAATCGCATCGCACTTATCAGTGATGCCAATTTGGCTATATTGCACAGTTGGGAGAAAAATGCATCGCACTTACAGTGATGCAATAGCTATTGCACAGTTGACAAAATCGCATCGCACTTATCAGTGATGCCAATCTAGCTATATTGCACAGTTGGGACAAAATAGCATCGCACTTATCAGTGATGCCAATTTAGCTATATTGCACTATTGGGAGAAAAATGCATCGCACTTATCAGTGATGCCAATCTAGCTATATTGCACAGTTGGGACAAAATAGCATCGCACTTATCAGTGATGCCAATTTAGCTATATTGCACTATTGGGAGAAAAATGCATCGCACTTATCAGTGATGCCAATCTAGCTATTTTGCACAGTTGGGACAAAATCGCATCGCACTTATCAGTGATGCCAATCTAGCTATATTGCACAGTTGGGACAAAATCGCATCGCACTTATCAGTGATGCCAATCTAGCTATATTGCACAGTTGGGACAAAATCGCATCGCACTTATCAGTGATGCCAATCTAGCTATATTGCACAGTTGGGAGAAAAACTCATCGCACTTATCAGTGATGCCAATCTAGCTATATTGCGCAGTTGGGACAAAATCGTCTTTTTATTTATAAAGGCTGATGTGGATACATTGTTACCCAAATTTCTGACCGTATAAAAACGATTTTTTCTCTCTGCACGACTGTAAATATGCAATGCACATATCTATTTTATGCTGCCGTTTATTGTTTTCCCTTCCCAAAATATAACAACAACGGCTGTTGGCATGCGGGCTTTGGGCTTTTGCATGTTTAATGCATCTAATCAACATTAAGCCATGTTTTGGCAGAAAACACAGACCGCACTCGCCTAAAATTCCCCTGCTGCTCCGTCACTGTGCTCATCGCATTACCATTGTATTCGGGGGTCAACCGCTACTGCTACCACCCCGATCCCCACCAGAAAAAGATACAAAATTCAGTTGCAGATATATCTCTGTTGTGTTGCGTTGTTGCTGTCACATTTACATAATTTCATTTGTAACACACATGCCGACACCCCTTCCCTCGCTTCCCCTCGGAGTGTTACATGTGTTCGCCCGGCGGCAAATTATTACACGCTTTTATTAACAAAAATTATGCTCGACTGTTGATTTGCCGCGTCATCGGGAACGGTCAGTGGATGCTGCTCTTTCTACTCATGCTTCTCATGCTACTTCTCCTCTTGGACTTCGCATAAATATTCATCAGGTAATATCGGGGGCCTATAAATAGATGCATGCCGCAACCGCAGCTGAATGCTGGACTCAAGATGTGGTCACAGGATCACAGCAGCAACGACCACAGAAGATAGAAATTAATTAAGTGCGGATTTTGTGCCTTCTATTTCTGTTTGCCTGGAAAGAAAGAATGCTTAATCAATTTAAATCAAGTTCGTAGAAAAGAATTAAAGAAGGCTACTTGAGACCTCAAATATCATATAAAATTATAAGTAAATATCAATTAAAATATGTAACTTCTTGTGTGTTCTTAGCGGCATAAAATGCCCAGAAAGTTGACGATTGCAAAAAGTCATATATATTCTGAATCGCTATTAAAATCCTAGTTAATTAGTAACAAAAACATGAGGACACAAAATTGGACAATTTTAGCCAATTTTTGAAAATTTTAAAATTTACAAAAATCGGCCAAAAATTTACATTTCAAATGGAGTATGCAGTTTTGTTAACCTGCTAAAAACTAGCACGGGAACGCTTTCCGAATTGAAATTAAAGCCTTAGTTATGAGATTTTTACACTTTGATTTGTCCAAAAAATATTCAAATAAAAATATAGATAATATCGAATAAAAATGGTTTTGCACCTTCATTCAGAAGTTTAAAACTAAGTGAAGGAGTCATTTCCGACCCTATAAATCATATATATTCTTGATCAGCATCAACAGGGGAATCCTTCAAGCTATATACGGCTAAAAAAATTTTTTTTTCAGAAATGTCCCATTTTTCGAAAAAAATGAAAGGGGTTAGTTACATCATTAAAATTTACTAAAATCGGCAAAAAATTCACATTTCAAATGGAGTATGCAGTTTTGTTAACCTGCTAAAAACTAGCACGGGAACGCTTTCCGAATTGAAATTAAAGCCTTTTTGGCTTAGTTATGAGATTTTTACACTTTGATTTGTCCAAAAAATATTCATATAAAAATATAGTTAATATCGATTAAAAATGGTACTGCACCTTCAGTCAGAAGCTTAAAACTAAGTGAAGGAGTCATTTCCGACCCTATAAAACATATATATTCTTGATCAGCATCAACAGGGGAATATTTCAAGCTATATCCGGCTAAAAAAATTT